TGATGTCACCAACGGTAACGAAGGCCCTGATGCAATGGGAGGCGATCTCGCCCAGGATAATGGCCGCCAGATTCAACTTCAAAGAAAGGAAAGTGTCAATTATGCACCCACAAACAACGTAGACCTCGAAAGAAAAGAAGAATTCTACAGACAACTACAGGCAACAATGGACAATACTCCAGTCGGTGACATTAAAATACTAATGGGAGACATGAACGCCAAACTGGGACCAGACAACACAGGAAGGGAACTCATCATGGGTAGAGAAGCTCTCGCAGAAATGAATGAAAACGCAGAACTCTTCGCCGACTTCTGCGCCTTCAACGAACTAGTGATTGGTGGCAGCGTATACAAACACAAAGATATCCACAAGGCTGCATGGGTGTCACCAGATGGGTGAACCAAAAAACGAAATTGACTTCATCCCAATCTCAAGGAAGTGGAGGCACAGCCTGCTGGACACAAAAGTAAGAAGAGGAGCAGACGTTGGATCAGACCACTATCTCGTACAACGGACAATCCAAATCAAACTAAAAGCTTTCAGAGAAACAGGAGCTGCAGATAGACCACAATCCAACTTCAACACTCAAAAACTGAAGGACCAGGACACAAAGGACATCTTCACTGCAAGCATAAAGGACAAAGCTGAGACACAAATCAACACTGGCGAAGAGGTCAGCGTCCAAAAGTACTGGAACAACTTGAAGACAGTGTGGAGTCAAACATGCATGGAAGTTCTAGGCAGAAAGAAGAGACAGGACAAACAGTGGCTCACTACGGACACTTGGAGACTGATAGAAGAGAGAAGGATGGTGAAACAAAAGATTATCCAGTGCACCGACGAGCAACAAAAACAGGATTTGAATGCAAGCTACAAGACACTGAACAGAAGAGTAAAGAAGAGTGCCAGAGAAGACAAAAGAAAGTATTATGAAACCATGGCAAGTGAAGCAGAATAAGCTGCAGGCAAAGGAGACCTCGCAACACTCTACCAAACAACTAGGTACCTATCGGGCAAACGTTTGACACAAATCAAGCGGGTGAAAGATGACAATGGAAAGTCACTCACCAAAGAAGTGGAGCAAAGGAAACACTGGGCTGAACACTTCAAAAGACTCCTAAATGGACCACCAACAACAACGCGCCCAACAATACCAATAACGGAGACAGAGCTACCACTGAACACCAACCCCCCCCCCCCAACGAAATTAGAAGTCCTGAAAGCAATCAAGATGCTAAAAGCTGGAAAAGCAGCAGGACCAAATGGAATCCCCGCAGAAGCATTGAAAATGGATCCAGAGACAACAGCGGACTTGATGACGCCACTACTAGAGAAGGTGTGGTAAGAAGGCAAGGTATCCGAGGATTGGAAGAAAGGATACTTATTCAAACTACCAAAGGAAGTAGACCTAAGTCAATGCAAGAACTGGCGCAGGATTATGCTCCTGTCTATCCCAAGCAAAATACTAAGCCGCATCATCCTGGAGAGAATCAAACAAGCCCTGTATGAAAAACTTCGACCGGAACAGGATGGGTTCAGGAAAATCAAGTCATGTATTGATCAGATGGCCACATTACGGATCATCATTGAACAAAGTTTGGAATGGCAGTCACCTCTCTATCTCAACTTCATCGACTTTGAAAAGACCTTCGACAGCGTCGATCGAGAGGTGATTTGGAAACTACTTCGCTACTACCAAGGGGTGCCACCGACAATTATACATCTCATCCAACAGGTGTACGACAATGCTGCATGTCAAGTAATCCACAACGGGAAACTTACGGAATCCTTCGAAGTGAAGACGGGAGTAAGGCAAGCTGGCTGCCTACTATCGCCAAGGCTTTTCCTGATTGCAGTAGATTGGATAATGCGACAGACAGCGGGGAATGAGGAAACAGGCATGAAATGGACCCTAACGAAAGACTTGGAGGATCTGGACTTCGCCGATGATATATGTCTGATTTCCCACAAACTGGAAGATATGCAAGCGAAAAGCAACAAGTTGGCAGAAGAAGCACCCAGAGAAGATAGGACTTCAGGTGAACATAGAGCAACAGAGGTGATGAAGATTCCTGGGCAACACCACCAACACCAACACCAACAACAGACAACGATCAGCATAAATGGGAGGAACCTGAAAGAAACAACCTCTTTTACCTACCGACCTGGGAAGCATCGTTTCAACTACAGGCAGACAGAACTGACGAGGATATCAAAGCAAGAATCGGAAAAGCAAGACAAGCTTTCACAACTCTCAAGTCTGTGTGAAGGTCAACAGCACTCAGCATCAAAAATAAGATCCGGATTTTCAACTCCAATGTGAAGTCAGTCAGTGCTACTATACGGATGGATCAGAGACTTGGCCAGTGCGTCATAAAGAGCATCTCAAACAAACTACAGACCTTCATTAACAGTTGTCTTCGCTCAATACTCAAGATCAGATGGCCAGAAAAGATCAGCAATAGGGAGGGATCTCTGGGAGCGAACCGACCAGGAACAGATTGTGCAACAAATAGGCAAAAAGAAATGGAGATGGATTGGCCATACTCTGAGGAAAGCATCAAGTGACATCACTAGACAAGCCATTGCTCGAGTGGAACCCGAAAGGGAAGCGGTGAGTCGGTCGTCAGGGTGATGGTGACTTGGAGGAGGTCATGTGACGAGGAGATGAAAACGTGTGGGCAGACTTGGAGCCAGGTGAAGACTCTAGCAGAGAACCGAACGCAATGGAGACGCAGGGCTGAAGCCCTGTGTTCCTCTAGGAATTAAAGGAAACAATAATAATAATAATGGTGCTGCACACTAGGCAATTCAGTGTCTTGAAAGGATAACGAGTTGAAAGTAACCGTATGTGTGAACAGAAAGTTTAACCTGACATCTGATGTATAAAGAATTAGCTAGACTACAGGCAGTATTAATCAAGGGCTATCGAATACTTTTAGAATTATTTGGGCTTATTAGTTCGTAAAAGCATCTCACTTGATAGTAGATATACTAAGTGTAGTCAACTTCAATGTTGACTGAAGAAGAAGACTGTTATTCGTAGACGACACTAATCTGTTTTGACTTCTTATTAGAAATTTATTGTATCCATCCAGAACTGTTCTCTGAAAACCATTGGGCTGATATTCACTAACTAGTATTCTTCGATAACTAAGCATGCTTGAAAATTTGTAAAAGATTATATTTGTAAAATCTCGGCGAGATTGAAATGAGTAATTCCAACGTTTCGTTCGGCAATCCTAAACACCATAATTTTGAAAATACGTCTAATCATAAAATTCTAGATACTCACAGTGTGAACAGACATGAAGGCGTGATGTTAGCTGATGCATAGGAAATCCTTATTAATAAATGAAAAATGGATATGTATCACTAATTATTAATACTTGGTCAAAATTTTCGACTGTCCATATCTTCTTATGGAGACGTTAAGAAATGTTTTACAACTGTTTACCCACACACACATACACACTCTTTTTCAAGTGTTTAACAAAGGTAGACCAATATTTGTAAGTCCGGGGTCAAATTTTGATCACAGCTCATAAAATTTCGTTTATTATACTTGTTGAATGACTCATGATTGGACAAAGTTTTTAAAAACAAGTGATGTTCCTTTTATATATAAAAATCTGTTATGTTAATTTCGATTAATTTCCTTGAAGAAGTTCGGACTAGATTGCCGAACAAAACGTTGGAATTACTCATTTCAATCTCACTGAGATTTCGCAAATATAATCTTTTACAAATGTCTACTTCTCACTTACCTTACTTGTAGATTGAGGCTCATTATTGTCAGCACTCAGCTCCTAGATTGTAAATTTAAACTTGTTCATTTCAGTTGAACGTTGAGATATTATATGGGTATACTTCGGCACTCAACTGTTGGTATATTTCGTATCATAACGAGAAGTGAAACTTCCCTTTGACATATAGGCTGTTACTACAGTATTTCAAGTTATTTGGTTGACCTTTGCAACGATGATTACTTAGTTCGACTCTCGGTGGGTACCAAGATACATTCATCTGACGAGTCCCACAGAGAGCGATATGTACACCCTCTGGATTCCACTGCCAGCCATTATTGGATAAATAAAATTACCAATATTATCTTTCTGTTTATCAAAGCTCCTCCATAAGTTTGCAACCAAAAATTGTTTTGGAAATGATTTACTTACGCCTAGCCTTGGTGTTTCCTTTGTTAGCAACAACCAGTGTGACACATTTCATCAAATCATTTGGGTTGCATAGAAGTCTCTTATCTACGTCCTTATTAACAGTCTCATGGAATGTTGCCTTATACTTTGATAACCTCTCCTGGTTTGTTCTTACAACTGGTGCAAAATATTAATAATTTTAACAAAAACAACAATAATAATGCCAATCTGCAGAAAAATGTCTTTCTGTGTTAAGAGCCTATTGTGAGGTTAGAAGGGGGACTCTCACAATATCGTAATGACTTAAAAATTTGTCCTGCAAATGTGTGTTATTGAAAACACTCGATATATAGAGATTTAGGCTTCACCTTCTCAAATGTTACTTCACACTTGAGGTTGAACAACACATTCAAGCATTTATCAGTGCACAAACGGAGTCTTTGTAAGTGATTCATGAGAGGCAGTCTGAATCAGCTTCAAAGCAGAATGCTGCACAGAAGTTCAGCAGTTCCAATCACCACACTTTATGTGATTACACTAATCGGTAGATGAAAAAGAAATGCGAAAAACCCCTAGCAAATAAACATGCATTGGAGAATGAATAAGTACGTGGTACGCCAGTATAGTACGTCATTGAGAAGGATTTCTAACCATTTCACCAACAATTTCCATCTGTTGGCCCCTAGTGTCTCGAAGACTCCAGTGAGACAGTCTACAACTCCCTGTGACTCAAACTAACACAGTCTGAGAATTCATGAATTGGTGACCCGTTTTGAAATGATCACACCTCACTCTTTTCAAACCCATTCTCATATCCAGTAATGTATCCTAGCCACTTCAATCGATACAGTTTCACGATCTCATCGATTAGCTTTCCCACCTCCTCTGATACTCTACTCCTAACGTCAATATTACTCACTATATTATACCAGTTACCAACGGTCAAAGAGAGCTAGCCGTTTCTCGTGGCCATTAATAAAGACGAGACGAAATGCTGTGCAGTACTTATGTCTTTTCCTGAATGACGGGATATCACATCTATGATATGAATGACGTATGAGACACTCTACTCATCAAATTAAACAAAACTATCACCTAGAAAATATTGTAAATATATTTCATATAGAGCATTCAAATAATACCAACAGTAGTCAAAAAACCCTGTTTGTTGGGTATTGCAATAAGGTAAACTTTCATTTTAAAAATTTATATTTCTTTAGGAAGCAGCTTTTTAAAATCAAAACTGCATTTAGCCATTTCGTCCCATAAGCTGAACAAAGACTTAAGTGTGTCAGACCACTGACGAATTTCGGTAGGTGAGGTAGCTTCTGTTAACCGTGACATAGACCAACTTATTTTTTCGCGTAGAGCAATCACCATACTGTTTTCTTTGCACATCCCGTTGTTCGTGGGCAGTCCTACCTGACTTTCAGTACATTGCTTTGATGCTCTAAAAAATAGAAAAACAATAAATGTGTTAAATAACAGCATGTTGATGTTAATAAAAACTGTACCTTAAGAACATGCCAAAAATGACTAAATTTTTAAAGCTAATTTCGATTTCAAATCCTTCTCTTAACATAAGGGAAATACAATAATCAAGATATGTGTGACCAATATGGAAATATGCACACAGTGCATTCCACTGCAGTACACAAGTTCTACTACTGTACACTTATCTTGGAGACATTTGCTTTCTCTGAAACGATACAATGATTATCACGAATTTCAGACACTAGAACAAAGCAAAAATGTTAATTGCATCAATGATCAACAATGTCTTGGTCCAGTCATCCATCCAATTAACTTTCAACCAGTGGTAACAGCTCCGAAAGTTGTCGTATCCAGTAGTATTTCAGGAGATGTAGAATCTCGTTGACCTTCACATAGTGAACGGCTGATATCCTAATTTACAGACATGTTATTGAGTTACTGAGGTTTATCGTACGACTAGTAATTCGTCCATTTCCATCTATAGACTCTTCATTATGGAAATGGCTTATGACATTAATTTAATGTACTTTATTCGTGAAGTGCATACTTTCACCATGTGAACGGTCAGGAGGTAATCATCGCTAAGACACTTGAATAAGCGCAAAATGCCTTCCTAATCATAATCCACCATCTTCTTGCTTTCCTGCCATTGCTAACACTGTTCTACAGGTAAGTCTCCAACCCCCTCTTAACCCTACGATCATCAGTAGCAACCTGAACCAGGAAAACACTAATAAGAGTCTCTCAAAACTAAACTGCCAACGTTATATTGCAGCATTCAACACCCCGACTCTATACCAAATAGGAAAATAGGCATCATTAGCCAGTACTATGGAATCTCAAGCTGGATTCGGAGACATGCATACACGACCTAACCTAAATGTGGTTATCCACTTAACTCCACTCAACCAACATAAACAGAATTCACCTTATGGATCTAAAGAGCTTCTTTAGATAGTTGACGTACTTTCCTATTAGTAGGAATAGTATCGAGTGCTAAGGTAGAATAATCTTCACTTGACTGGATCTCAGTGTGCAGTCATTTGTGCTGTCCGACTTGACTGGTCCCTTGAAAAGAACGAGGATTGTGATACTAGTCAATGCCTTTTGACTATTCCCACTTACGCCAATAAATGTGACCACAATCGATTAAAGCAGCTTGAAGATTGACTTGTTACCAGGGTACAGCCTCGTCAGTCAAATGATGCAGATGATAGTCCTTCTAGGTGAAGACTAACAAAATTCAGAGTCATACACACACTGAACAGATATCCAGGTATGTTTGGTGTGTAATTCGCCCTTGCCAAATATAAAATGGTACTGCTCACTGAGTTTTAACATAGAAATTTGCACCGAAGTGCAGTAGTTCAAGTTTTCACGCTCAATGTAGCACACAAAAGACAAACAGAAGTGGGATTTAGAAGAATTAGAATAAGCAGAAATATGCGGCAGAAGGAATGGTAAAGTGGAAAATCATGACGCTCTTACTGCTGTACAGTGCACACGTCCTTTGATTGTAAGTTGGCCGGTCAGCACTGACTCCAAGAGACTCGAGACACTGACAAAATGGCTAGAAATCCTTCTCAATGACGTACTATACTGGCGTACCACGTACTTATTCATTCTCCAATGCACGTTTATTTGCTAGGGGTTTTTTCGCATTTCTTTTTCATCTACCGATTAGTGTAATCACATAAAGTGTGGTGATTGGAACTGCTAAACTGTTGTACAAGGTTCTACATTGCAAGTTGAAATAAGTGTTAGTAAATTTTATTAATATAGATGACTTGCAAAAGTGTCTAAAAACCTTTTTCCATACCTTTTAATTGTTTTTGAGAGCGCAGAAACAATAACGTTATCTTTATCAGGAGACGATAGTTCCAATGAAAGATGTTGAAACATTTCTGGTGATTTTCTGTGGTCGATCGACTGCTTTTTAGCGCTGGGAGTATCAATGTCAACCTCTATACAAGCGACGCAGTAATGCTGGCCGCTTGGTTGCTGGAAAAGAATTGTCTAAACAAGAGGATGTAAAAATAGACGCAGACATCAACAAACCTCACATTTAGGACAGGATTCATTCAGCATCCTCCATCCTTTCAGCAAATAGTGTCCCATAAGATTTGAAATTTTATCTGATCGTTGTCTTTTATTTTTTGTTATCTCATCGTCTATGTCGACTGTTTTATCCATGATACCAGCTTGCTGAAGACAATCCATGGTTTCACCTAAAAGGAAGTACTTATTAAAATGTTTGAAAACTGCTCAGACGTCACATCCATTTTAACTTTAATTAGCATCCAAACTAGCTATATACATACCATTCGTATACTCTAATCTGGAATTTTGTACTGTGTTGTGTAATTAGAAGACAATTTAGCCAACTCTACGATGACTTCTGATCAATAGAAAGACTAGTTGTCTTTGATCATAAGTGTCCGCACTATATCTCCTGTGTCTGATGGCACGATATGCAGAATATTGAGGTTCAGTGCCAAGTATTAGGTAAGGAGGGAAGGTCACTCGGTATAGTTGTGAAGCTACATCGATTGAGATGGCTATAAAATGTCGAGTATGTCTAGTCATTGCCTTGCTAGATGAGCAGTGTTAGTTCACAACGGACAAGGTTGGAAAAGAGCTGCTGCTGATATAACTAAAACTTGGAGTCAGCCAATAAATTCCATATTCTATGCATGAAACTATCTAGGTCTCCTAACCCTAGCAATAACCCTGATATCTGCTGAACCTAACCCTAACGTGAAATTATCCCTAAACCAACTGTAATCAAACTAGAACCAACCCTAATGTCGCCTTTCGTAGGTTAATCTAACCCTAACTTGTCCTTGGCTTAAAGCGTGACTTAATCTTTCTCAAACCCAAGCCGAAACTTGCCAGACGTCCAATTTAATAACATAACAATCCGATGAGCATATTTTATTGATGGTGACATTATTTGCCAGGTTTCACTAATTTGTTCAGCGGGTGTTACAACGTCGTTGATGCGATAGCACTCCATCGGTAGTTCGTGGTGTTTAAAGCTTAACTTGGCCACAGCAAGTTAAGGCTCCGGCTAAGGGAAAGTTTAAGATTAGGTTAACGTAATGAGGGTTGGTTCGAATTGGATTAGGGTTAATTTAGGCATATTTCCACGCAAGGATCAGGTTGGGGAAAGATTAGGGTCATTATTAGGGTAAGAAGACTAGATAGTTGCAGGCATAGAATATAGTAAAATTACTCTGTTGATACTCCAATATGAAACTGAGCGGGATTTTAGTCACACGACAAAGAAAGGTACCCTGTTTAACAGTTTCATAGCTTTTAGTTCATTACTCGGACAAAAATATGTATTTCACACTTAAATATCACATTCACAATGTGGTCGGTGCGTTCAATTTCATATGTCCATAGGCGAACAAATTCTAACTCCGCACACCTACTTACTCCTCTCTAACGCAGTATTCGAATTTCGCAGACTGAACCAATACTCCGTATCATTTCAACGTGCTAGTGTAAGCAAATTTGATTTCTTTATACTCGCTTCATTGAAGACACCCTTAATATTCATGCACTAGAAGTATAGTAGTTCCACTGTTCCACTGCGTTTTTACTAAATGATGATTTGTACACCATATAACTCCAATCGAAACACCCCACTAATGGCCTCGAAAAGACCAGTCGTGTTAAGATGCAATTGAAGTAGGTTATGATAATTAATCCAGTCCAACATATACTGAAAAGGCCATCCAGAAAGTGCTCTTAACCAAAGTCTATAAAATAATTCCTCAGCCTAACTCTCACCTAGCTGTAACCTGACATTAGCCTTATTGTAACCATAACCCTCTCACTTGCCAGCCTTAATTTATGCTTAGTCCTACGCCAGCTCTGACATATCCCTAACCCGATCGTATACTTCACTATGATCCTAAAGGATGATGACATGAGCGATTATACATGCGAAATGACGATAATGAAACTGGTACACCTTTCCCCATTCCCTTCTATAAATAAACAGTATGACGGAAATTCGCATATTCGGCTGAATAGATGAGTTGAAAGTCATAAGTGTGTGTTTCGTTGGGGTCTTTAAGCCCAGCTGTGGTGTGAAGATCAACTAATAATTGAAACTGAAGTTATGTAGAGTAGGTTTAAAAGCTAGAATTTATTTACGGTTGAACCACTGTATAGTGATATTCCACGCAATTGAAAGAGAGAATATTGGCTACATTTATTTCTGTGAACTTTCAAGTTGCCTACGGTTTATGCACGTTTATACCTGTAACTACTATTAACAACTGACACTGGTGAGAATAACGCAGGCTAATAGGTTTCATCCTCTGTATCAAAACACAAACTGCCAAGCAGAGTATATCGTTCTCCGTAATTTCCTCTTCAGGTTCTGCAGACGCATACTCACTGCATTAGAATTATTGATCTGAAAATTCTTTCATGCACAGTCTATTTGTTGTGCTAATACTTATTGGAGTGTTTCAACTAATTGTATTATTACCACCTTCCTCCCAACCAGCGTGTCACTGTTCTAATATTCATATCTTCCTCTGACCTAATCCCTATTGTTCGCCTTTGTCTCGACTGGTTGACTGTGAGTAGGTTTCCTGCATATCACAACTAATTGTAGCGTTGTAGTCCGTTCCTATGGTGCTTTAATTGTAAGTTATATTTTTGAATGTTTTTAAATGGACTTTGACATTGAGAGAGTTTTCCGGCGCACATGTTACCGATGGCATCACATTCATGAGCTGCGTTACATCTACGTCTATGACATATATAAATAACTCAATAAGGGTTCAAAAATTTAAAAAAACTTCACAGTAGCGGGTAAGCACAGCATTATTTTGGTATTAACAGATACAAGGGACCAACTTTGCGATAATAAACAGAATTCAGAATGGAATTTGTTCCGTTGTTCGTCGTGTGTGCCAACAATATTCTGAGTAACGCTCAAGTAATACAAACGCAGAGAGCAGCATTACAGCTCATTTGCCGTGCATCAATGCAATACCTTCGAGAAGAGAAGGAAGAAAACAGAAAGAGAGGTGCAGAGGTAACCAAATTGTTGAAATACGTACTTTTCCGTTCAGAAAATGTCGAATTACTTGAATAGACATATTATATCGACTTTTAGTGAATTTTTTTGCAGTTTAAAGGATTATACATGGACATGATTATGTGGGATATTTCGCTTTGTTAATTATTCTATTTGCTTTATTGTATACGTTTGCTAATGCTGTCACAGCTTCTCCACATGTATTTCAGTAAGGAAAATCTAGAGAAATACTTGGAAATTATATACGCATAGTATTTAATTATCTTATGGCATACACTTGATGTTTACAGGTTGATGTAATATCCATTTTTTCTGCCTGAAAAATATTGACTGATGCAATTTTATACAATTAAACTGATTATTTCATCATTTTAAACATGTTAAGTAGTTCATTATTTCATTTATAGTGGTAACAATGTCTACATCTTTAGAATTCTTATGTTCTTTTTCAGATAGTATCTACTTTCGGGAATTTCATGTATTTCGGCGATAAAGAAAAAGATATCTGCCGTGTTGTTGATTTTGTATGACATGTTTATTCATTAATAAATGTTTTCCTCGTTATTCGTTTGTATATTCTACTTAATAAAGCTGATTTCCAGCATTTGCGTAAGTTGTGAGGTACGGAGTTTATGATGTGATCTGAAAAATGCTAAGTAAAATTAGATATTTGGAGAGGCTGATTGATAAAAAGACTATATCGTACCGTAATGAAGTTACTGCGTCCACTTGTAGAAGAAAACATTGAGGTTATAAGCGATTAGAGGTATATATCGTCTTAGTAGGAACCTAATAATTGACTTCGGATTCATAGGCAAACAAGGTGAAAAGTAAATCTACTCGAGATAGTGAGCTTGCGATTTCTACTTATCGTAATAAACCAAGATGGGAATAATATGCCTATACTGTTAGATTTATAACCCAATGCAACTACGGTTATCGTAATAATTAAAAATAGAATGCCTAGTATTGAAATACAATTATACTTTATTAGAATGCCTACGGTTCGCAGCTACAGAACATGGTACGTTGCTATCTGTTCATCTAATTGCGTACACAACAGTTTCCCAGACGCCGCATTTACTCCTAAAAGTTTGCCCTTAATTCCTAACTTAGCACGTGTTACTAACGTCACTGGAACACAATCTGGTTACAACAGAAGGAACACAGATTCATTAAAAAAGTGCTTATTAAGCAAAAATTAGATTTGAGATGTACAGATAATTCAGATAAGTAGTCCTCCGTCACCGTCAGTAGGTTCCATCTGCGTACCAGCACATATATGTTTCTCCATAAGCCTGAAAAGGTTTAGGAAAAGCATTATTAACTTAGGTGGTACATGTATGATCTGAATAAAAAACGTTTCTTCATAAGCATTTACAAGTAATCACTTCACAAACAATATATATAAGTAGCTAAATAGTTTTCACTAAACTTAAGGGACTTCGCAATTTATCGTCGGTCGATATCTAGTGGGTCCATCGAAGCATCATGAAATGAAAAATTATTTAACGACAAGTTATGCAATAGTTTGCGAAGCTTGAACAAAGATTTTAACAAAAGTGACAACAGCTTTATGACAAATAATACGAGTCTTGACAGCATTAATAATAACGAATTCATCATTAACTTAGACAACTACTAATAATGCAATCATATCAATTAAATGTATCACTTAATCTTATGAAGCAGGTGTTTACTTAGTTTCACCGGATTCCTGTCCGCGCGAACTTTGAAAAGGGAGTGAATTTTACATTCTCTTGTTTAGTTTTGGCTTTTGTTGTGTTATACGCTCCAAAAGTCTACAGATTAACTTTAAATCAGTTTATTCTGATCAAAGTTAGTTTACTTTTCAGATTTGAGTTTATTTAAATTATAGGAAGTTGTGCCTTATAACATAATAGTTATATATATATTTGTGCACTCATTGGTTTTTATCGCTGATTTATAAAGGTCTATATACATCTAAGTTATATTTAAATTTCTTCGCCAGTCCGCTCTAGACAGTATGCCCATCCAAAAAAACCGCTGCGGAAGGGTTATGTGCCGATTCCCAGTGGATGAGGGAATGCAGTGGGATAACTGCAAGAGATGGTTTCACAGTATGTGCACAAACATTACTCCTGCAGCATACAAACGCTGCTGCAAACCTCTAGCGAACTGGTTGTGCAATGACTGTTGTAGTATTACCAGGTTCCGTATTACAGAAGCCATTGCAACTCTCAGTGGGGCTTTAAAGCTCATGGACTGCAAGGGTCTTCCATCACAGGAGAAGACTGACTACTTCTCAGACACCGAAGATGCGACTAGCGTCATCGACAAAACAGTACATGTTCTTGATGAGTCTTCGTCAATGACTGAGTGCCCTTCAGCACAGAAGAGTACTCACCACATTCCAGGCACCCAGGCTTCCCCCACGATACTGGATAAGCCCTCCAGTGACAGTAGTGGATAGACTGCCACAAAGAAGAGGCGTACCAGGGGTCAAAAACCTGCAACTGAAGTCACCCAGGAACTAGTGGATCAAGCCTCATCCACACCGGTGAGTAGCAGGCAGATAAATCCTGCTACGATTAGTGAGGAGAACGCCAATGAATGGCGTAACGTAGTCTCACACAAAAAGCGAGATAAGGACAATACATTGGCCACAATGCCCACGAAGGACAGAAAGACATGCACGCCGCAGAGTAAGAAAGCCACGGCAAGCAAACCTGATCTCTCCGACAGGTCGCTCATTCTCCACAAAGTGGAAGAGTCACTGGCCCCCGATCCCAAGACCAGATTTGAGCATGACCTTAACTTGGCCAAGCCTCTTTTAGGCAAGCTACTAACACAAACAGTATCAGGCATTACTATACATAGCGTATATAGAATAGGCCAAAAGCCTGACCCAACAGTGAGTCAGCCTGTACGTCTCCTCAAAGTCGCACTAAACTCTAAAGAAGAGGGATGCTATTCTAAGCAACTCTCATATACTTATGGGATCAGGCATAAATGTCCGCGCCGACTTAAGCCTAGCAGACCGTGTCAAAAGACAGTCTGCGGCCCTAGAATTAAGCGAACGACGCCGAAACGGCGAAAAGAACCTTAAGATTAAGGGTTTTCGGGTTGTTCAAGTTCGCAGTTTAATGATCCCGAAACCTCTGTGGGTAGGCCGGGGAAGCACCAAACTGAATTAACAGTTTGCTACACAAACGCCCGCAGCCTGTTAAATAAACGGACTGAGCTGGTTAACATGATAGACTCCGGAAACCCGGATGTAATTATTATCACAGAGACATGGCTCACACCCGATGTCACTGACAGCGAAGTTAAACTGCCAAACTTTGAAGTGCATAGGGTGGACCGACTAAACCGCAAAGGAGGTGGCGTAGTCATCTACCTCAAGAAATGCTTAACCGTGCGTAGTATCGAAGCACTCGCTCACGAAAGTGAGTCGTGCGAACTTCTACGCTGCAGACTTAAATGCATAGGCCAAGACATTGACCTCATTGCTATGTACCGCAGTCCTGACTGCAGTGCAGATGAATTCCTGATAGAGA